TTTTTTCTTATCAGTTTTGTATATTAGGGTTGTGTATTACACCTAATGTTGTTAAATGAATGTTTATTGCATTATTTCAGTTTCATGTGTGTCACCATGATGGTGTTTAGTGTTTGTGTGAATGACGCTGTGCACCTTCTATATATGTTATTATCTAAAAGCTGCATGTGATGGGCTTTGGTTCATCATGTGACTTTCTCATCACCACCTGCATTTGGTGTTTATCAGTGTATTACAAAGTTACAAAACAGATTTCAGTTCTTCAATAGGTTGGTATATTAACATTATATCAGTTAATGAAAATACGGTATTTAACTGTAAATTTAAGTTAAAACCGTATAACCTAAAACGTTGCTACCGTATTTTTTTACGGTAAAATTCCGGCAACCACAGCTGCTGGTTTTTTACCGTAAATTCTACGGAATTTTTTTTACAGTGCATGTAAATTTTAAACGGGGCCATTTTTATTAATTCAACTATTATTTTCTCTTGTGGACTATATGTAAACATCTTAAATGTGAAATATCTTATTCAGATCAGTACTAAATAAATAACATGCGTTTTGTATGATCATTCTTATTTTGGTAAAATAATTAATATTTTGCAGATTCTGCAAGGTGTATGTAAACTTTGGACTTCAACTGTATATTCAACAAAAAAAGTGTCATGTAAATGAAAAGGATGTTTAATCGTCATGAGATTCTTTCCTAAGTGTCTGACATAATTTTAGAGTAATCTTTAAAGTGAGTATAAACATTAATGGATGATGATTGGCTGAAAGACATTTAATGCTATTTAAATGAACCTTCACCATAGACTGTACCTGTTAATTGTGTCTTGGATTAAGTTTCTCTTTCTGATTGTGAAGTTTCTGTTTATCTGAGCTGTAGATCCTGAACTGAGAGACTGAAGAGTGTCATTGTTCTCTACAGGTTGAGGGATTGTGGCGTCACAGATGAAGGTTGTGCTGCTCTGGCTTCAGCTCTGAGATCAGACCCCTCACACCTGAGAGAACTAGATCTGTCTGGAAATGAACTAAGATTCTCAGATGTGAAGCTGCTGTCTGATCTGAAGGATGATCCACATTATAAACTGAAGACACTTAAGTGAGTAGTGATAATTAAAAATGTTAGAATTTTTAAATTGAACTTTAATATAGTTTCTACTTATTAGGGTTTTTCCTTGTAGTTACTTAATCACTATAAACATGTTTAATAAGAGTTTGATTCTGTTCATGGTAAGAATGATCTAATTTAAAGTTTCTTTGTATTTCAAAACAATACAATATTTCACTTTTATAATTGACTGTTTACATGCACCCTCATAATGTGATTTTAAAATGATTTAGGCAATACTGTAATTGAACTTCACCTTATGTATGCACAATACTTGGGTCAAATTGGTGTTAAGCTCATAATTATAGCAACCGTAATCGTAGTAAAATATGTGATGCATGCTAATTTGAATCATAACAAACAGGCATGTAAACACCTTAATCGCATTACTACCGCTCTGCCCAAAAGTGCATCTCATATGTACACAAATATGATGGGAACTCTGTGAATGAACTGTATAAAGATTGCAATGGCATCGTAGTTAACTCCATTTACAGAGGCACTGCTGTCACATTTAGATGTTCATCACAGTGCCATATAACCTTCAGTACGTCCATAGAAATGTGTTTTGCATTTGACTTAAGTCGATTAAAACAGTGGCCAGTAACACACTTAATGTATGTGAGATCAAGGCATTGGGGTATGTGAATAATGCTGGTAAAAATAACCACACTTCTTGGCTAATAATCAGAATAATGAAAATTGCATGTAAACAGGAGTGAAGATGTTTGCTCGTGTCATGTAAATATCTTACTGCAATTAAGTCCTTAACTCTGATTATTGGAAATAATCACATTATTGTTACACATATAAACATAGTCATGGTCTTCGTACACGTACAATTCTGCATTTTGAGAGAATGTCAATTACAATAGAAAATAATGGTAAATATGTATCACTAATTTTGTTGTAATAAATAAAACTGACCCAATGACAAGAAGAGGACATTTTATGGATAAGTGCCAAAAGTCATCATTCACATGTTGGTTTGGATGCAAAATCCAAGTTTAAATTGTTAAAAAGAACTTTAAATATCATGCATCACAGGTTTAGTTTATTATCTCTGACTAATAATGCAAATGGTTTGTTTTAGTTGTTTAGTCTAAAGTAGATAATGTGTCATACATTTGACTGTTTTACTTACAGGTTTTAGATGTGAATAAAGAGCGGTTTGGATGCAAAATCCAAGTTTAAATTGTTAAAAAGAACTTTAAATATCATGCATCACAGGTTTAGTTTATTATCTCTGACTAATAATGCAAATGGTTTGTTTTAGTTGTTTAGTCTAAAGTAGATAATGTGTCATACATTTGACTGTTTTACTTACAGGTTTTAGATGTGAATAAAGAGACGCTACAGACAGACATCACATTCAACAGAATCAACAGACACAAACCCATAGTGATCATCAGACATGGATGTGTTTGTGGAACTTTCCAGAATCATCCAATCCTTGATCAAGAGTCAAACAAGAAAACCTTTTGTTTCTTCTTCAGTAATATTTATTCGTGTACCAAATCAAACTATTACTAATATACATTAATATACAAAATACGTTTTTTTGTATATTAGGCAAGGCAAGGCAAGTTTATTTGTATAGCACATTTCATACACAATGGTAATTCAAAGTGCTTTACATAAAATAAAATAAAAACAATAATCACAACAATAAAACAAGGAATTTAAAAACTTTGAAAATTATTTTAAAAAAAATTATTTAAGAGGTTTAAAATGAATTTAAGAAAACGATTATACATATAATATAGTGCAATCAGTTCGGACATCGCACAGTGCTCATTCAATAAATGCACAGCTAAACAGATGAGTTTTGAGTCTGCATTTAAATGTGACTAATGTTTTAGCACATCTGATCTCTTCTGGAAGCTGATTCCAACTGCGGGTGGCATAATAACTAAAAGCACATTCCCCTTGTTTTGTGTGAACCCTTGGTATTTCTAACTGACTCGATCCTAATGATCTGAGTCGTCTGTTAGGTTTATATTCAGTGAGCATATCTGCTATATATTTAGGTCCTAGGCCATTGAGTGATTTACAAACGAGTAAAAGTACTTTAAAATCAATCCTAAATATAACTGGAAGCCAGTGTAAGGACCTGAGGACTGGTGTAATATGCTCAGATTTTCTGGTTCTAGTAAGAATTCTGGCAGCAGTGTTCTGGATGAGCTGCAGCTGTCTAATGGTCTTCTTGGGAAGGCCGGTGAGGAGACCATTACAATAGTCCACCCTGCTGCTGATAAAGGCATGAACAAGTTTCTCCAAGTCTTGACTGGAAACAAAACCTCTAATTCTTGCAATGTTTTTGAGATGATAGTATGCTGATTTAGTTACAGCTTTGACATGACTACTGAAACTAAGGTCTGTCTCCAGAATCACACCAAGATTCCTGACTTGATTTTTAGTTGTTAGACCCCTAGAGTCAAGGTATGCATTCACCTTGAGAACTTCATCTTTGTTTCCAAATGCAATGACTTCGGTTTTTTCTTTGTTTAACTGAAGAAAGTTCTCGCACATCCAACTGTTAATTTCATCAATGCATTGGCAGAGGGAGTCAATGGGGCTGTAGTCATTTGGAGATAAGGCTAGGTAAATCTGGGTATCATCTGCATAGCTGTGATAGGCGATTTGGTTCTTTCTCATTATTTGACTTAGTGGGAGCATATACAGGCTAAACAAGAGCGGTGCAAGAATTGAGCCTTGTGGGACTCCGCATGTCATGGACGTCCACTTAGACTTATGCTCTCCTATACTCACATAATAACCTCTCCCTTCTAAGTATGACCTGAACCATTTAATTACCATGCCAGAAAGCCCGACCAAGTTTTCCAGTCTCTCTAGTAGTATGTTATGATCGACAGTATCAAACGCAGCACTGAGATCTAGTAGTACCAGCACTGATATTTTGCCAGATTCAGAATTTAAGCGAATATCATTTATTATCTTAATGAGTGCTGTCTCTGTGCTGTGATGCGGTCGAAAACCAGATTGAAAATTGTCCAGGTATCCATTTGAGTTTAAGTATTTGTTCAGCTGATTAAAGACTACCTTTTCAATAATCTTTCCTATAAAAGGAAGATTTGATATTGGTCTATAGTTGCTCAATATGGTGTTATCAAGATTTCTCTTTTTCAGAAGGGGTTTAACAACTTTGGAGTTTGGAAAAGTCCCAGAAAGAAGTGAGGCGTTCACCACTTCTAAGAGATCTGCTTCCAAACAGTTAAGCACCCTTTTGAAAAAATATGTGGGAAGTGTGTCAAGATAGCATGTTGACGATTTAAGGTGCTGTACTATTTCTTCCAAAATTTTGCTATCAATTTCTTCAAAAGCAGACATAGTATCTTCTTTTTGATATTGTGGTCGAATATGTCTAACCTCTGCATAACTTGGGGATGTGCTAATCGCCTTCCTGATATTATTGATCTTCTCAGAAAAGAAGGAAGCAAACTCATTGCATTTGCTGTCGGAGAGCATTTCACTGGCAATCTGATTTGGGGGGTTTGTCAGTCTCTCAACAGTAGCAAAAAGTGAGTGTTGTTTAAGTTACTGTTTATAAGGTTTGAGAAGAATGACTGTCTAGCTTTGCCTAGTTCCACATTGAAAGTACGAAGGCTGTCTTTATATATGCTATAGTGTATTTGAAGTTTCGTCTTCCGCCACATCCGCTCAGCTTTTCTGCATTGTCTTTTCATACTCTGAACTGCTGTTGATTTTCTCCAAGCTGATTTCTGTCTGCCAGTCTTCCTGCTGACTTTCAAAGGAGCAATGTTATCAATAACATTCTTAACTTTTGAGTTAAAGGAATCAAGGAGAAGATCAACAGAGTCTGCAGAAATGCTTGGTGTTAAAGATATAGCCTTTATTAATGTATATTCTGGTCAGTTCCTTTATAAAAAAAATATTTATATTCAACATAAAAATGTTTTTATATTGAGTTGAAATCTTTATTTTAGCAATTAAAGGAATTCAAAACGCAATCTGCATTCTGAATAAGATGTTTCTTATTCTTATCTTATTGGCCTCATTGTGGATTTGTAGCTTATAACTGTAATGAAACGTTATGCTTTGGTTTCTTCAGTCAGGCTTATGATGGATGGTAAATTGTACCTTTTTGTACTGTGGTGACGGTGGACAGGGTCTGAAGTTGTTCATCTTATACAGGTGCATCTCAATAAATTAGAATGTCGTGGAGAAGTTCATTTATTTCAGTAATTCAACTCAAATTGTGACACTCGTGTATTCAATAAATTCAATGCACACAGACTGAAGTAGTTTAAGTCTTTGGTTATTTTAATTGTGATGATTTTGGCTCACATTTAACAAAAACCCACCAATTCACTATCTCAACAAATTACAATATGGTGACATGCCAATCAGCTAATCAACTCAAAACACCTGCAAAGGTTTCCTGAGCCTTCAAAATGGTCTCTCAGTTTGGTTCACTAGGCTACACAATCATGGGGAAGACTGCTGATCTGACAGTTGTCCACAAGACAATCATTGACACCCTTCACAAGGAGGGTAAGCCACAAACATTCATTGACAAAGAAGCTGGCTGTTCACAGAGTGCTATATCCAAGCATGTTAACAGAAAGTTGAGTGGAAGGAAAAAGTGTAGAAGAAAAAGATGCACAATACTTTTTAGCCTTTTGGCTGTTAATGAAGGAGGTGAACTCAGCAGTGAAGCAGTCAGTGAGGTAGTACTTGATTAACAAGCAGGAGTCTGCACAAGTCCACCGAGCAAAGACACAGACAGTCAGATGCAAATGCTGATGATATGTTCTCTTGGCACTCCTTCACCACAGTCTGTCACTCTCTCTGTCACCTTAATCTACTGGACCTTTTTGCTGCCTTTGCCACTGTAAACCACCAGATCCTCTTGTCCACCCTTTCTGATTAGGACATCAAAGGTACGGTACATTCTTTTTGCTGTGTAATAGCGCCCCATGTGTCATCATCTGACTCCTGCTGCTCTGAGCT